TCTGCCCGATACCCCTACCATGACTGCTACCCAGCACTAGAATCTTACGCTTAGGCTTAGCCTCTAACACAGGCTGATCTATAGCGTCACCATCAGTCTGAGGCCCTAGCATAGCTAGAGGTTCAAATCGATTGGTTAAAGCTAACTTAACATCTAGTGAAGAAGGAACTTTTTTAAGTTTTCTTCGGGAGTTGGACACAGTCCTAAATTCTTCAGGACAATTATCTACTAAATTTAATTCCCCTTTTAAGAGGTCAATCTCAGTTCTTGCAAGTTCCAGCTCCCTTTTCAAACTCAAGATAGGGTCTTCTCTGCTGTGGATTTTATTACAGTTCATATCTGTATATTGTAAGCCATTTACAATTTAATTTAAATTGAAATTTGTAGATATTTTCAGACATGAATTATAGGACGAGAAATTGGTACATAATTGATATACATACCTCTTTTAAGTTACTTCTTAAATATGCAGTACAACTTCGATAATCCAAACTAATTAAAGTACTGATGTGTTCCGACTATTGAATCATTCAAATTACAGGATTTCAAATAATATAATTTTGTAATGAAATATTAATTAAAAAGATTTATAGGTAACGTGTATGTTTTACCATAGACGGGGTTTTGGATTGATAAACGGATTTATTGAACTCTGATACAGAGCATGACTACACTTTACAGTTCACAATTACACACACACACTAGTGTCCACAGTCACGTTTTCACTAGCTGTTGCACGGTAGTGGCTTACAACAGCGGATGTTCTACTTCCTCTGGGTTTCTGAAATATCCCCAGCCTCATCTACCAGCTTGTCACAGCAACAGCTCACAATGACTGAACCTCAGCAGTTATGTGACCCACTAACTAACTGTCCTGCTTATAACATCTCTGCATGAACCGCACAGAAAACACCGCTACTCTATTGCAGTTTCTGTGCATTCTTGCCAAAAGAAGCGGTTCTCTCTCTATGAGAGAGTAGTAATTATTGATATTATTGTTTCTGTCATGTCTATAAAAGCAACAAAAACTTCTTTCGTCATTATAACAACATCAACTCTTGTTTCTAGTATGGACCCTGGCTCATGAAACATGTCTGTGTGGTACATGCAGTGGTTGCTACCGTTGCTACAGTAGATATTGAATGCCAAGTGGTCTTTTTCTTTATCCATGACTGTACCACATCCACAAGAACAGATTTCTCGAGTTTCTTGATCACGTGGATCTCGACCCTTAATGCAGAAATGCTTGTAGTTATTTCAATATGTTGCCAAGTGTTCCATTGGTAGAATTATTACTGTAGACACGGTAGAAATATTACTGATACTAACGAATTAAATGAGATTAAATCAAGGGGGGGCAGAGATGCTTGCTACCATTTCATTAAGTATTATTGAACTACAATCCTGTATGAATCAATTGCAAGCAGCTTCTATTCACTCAGCTACTCAAGAATTTCTTCAGCCTCTATGGAACTCTGAGATTAATACCAGTATTCCCAAAACCTACCATTTGGCCCTATTCAGAATCAGGTGAATTTATTCACATCATCACATTCCAGTTCCCAGGAACCCACTTTAATATTATCCTCCCACTTATATCTAGTTTTCTGAAGTGGTCTTTTCCCTCATGTTTTCGAACTGAAATATTGATATGTTTCTCACCATATTTGCTTTATAATCTGGCCATCTCAACCCCCTTGATTTTGTCACCTTAACAGTATTGGATAACGGATAGAAGTTATTTAATTGCGCAGTTGCCTCCATCTTATTGTTACTTCCTCTCTCTTACATCCATATCTTCCCTCGGACATCCTCAGTTTATTTGATAAATAGTACTACGCCGATAATATGAAGGAGTATAAGCTGGAGGGGTCTTTAACATGGATGCGAGAGGTAAGAAATTCATACGTATTGCTTGTAGGAAATCCTGAAGGTAAGGGCCTACATATGATACCTAGATATGCATGGGAAGATAATATTAAAATGGGATATAAAGAGGCAGGTCATGAGGATGTGAACTGCGAGTCGTAGAAGGCAATGAAAAGGAAACCTTGTATCCGGGAGTTTACCTATACCACCCTGTCACTGGGAGACATGAATGCATAGACCTGGTCCTCTAGGTTGAGGTAGGGGCTAGGGCTGACGACCTTGCTCTGTAAAATAAATGTTGCGAAATCCAAAGAGGTGAAAACCTGATGCAATCTGGCAGAATTTTCTAAGGACGGCTATGGCTCAAGAAGGGTTAATTTTGCCAATGATGACGATCAGGTCAAGAAGGAAGAAATGGGAGACGCATGTAGCATGAATGGGGAGAGACGTTGAAATGCATCCACCGTTTTAATCGAAACAATTGGAAAACCTAGTCTTAGTTTGTACCATAATGTTGTGCTATGACGTCTGATAGCTGGGATAGCGAACCCAGAAAAGTCGGCCTTTTCTAGGCATCGGGCGGCAAGTACGTTTCCACGGCAACCAAAACACGCTCCAGCGTCAACAATATCCGGACCATCGCCAGACCACAGCCGGCTTAACACGTCACTCATCAATGGAGGAAATATGGAAGCGGCGTTTTCTATGCGGTATTCAATTGTAAACGACAGGCCCAGCCTCTCTTCAGTGAGGATGTTACATAAGGACTATGAAAGCAAGTGTTCGGTTGAAGAAAAAAAAATGGTCGTGAGTCTCAAGGGGCTTGTCGCCACGACGAACTGATTAGCAGTAAAGTGCCTGTTGTAAAATAACTCTGACTCTGACTCTCTCAATCCAGTGCCAGGATTCGAGGAGAATCCCGCGTGGAGACGGGGTCGAATATATCCACCTAACCCTGCGAGTCGTAGGAGGCGACGAAAGGGGAGCCCAGTGCCTGGGGGTATAACCGGGCAATCCTGTTCCTGAACCTGGCCCACCAGAATGGGAGAGTCTAGAATCTGAGACAGTAAAATATGGCTATGAGTCCCTCCTTCGTCGAAGAGGAAGCCTCATTTCGAAACACATACGTGCCTAAGAGAGAATAAAAATCTTGGTCAGGATCTCGAGGAAACTGAAGCCAGGAATGACTGTGCTGGCGAAGCCGGCAGCAATTTGAGAGACCGATCGAAATTACTAACAATGTCCAGTCTTGCTTAATTTCGGTAATCAGAAGAGAACCGGTGTTTTCAACGCGGTGTAGCTCAAGAGGAACATAGTATGGAAGGCTCCCGGATCCGTCAGACAGTAAAATGTGGATATGGGTCCCGTGGGACTCGGAACCAAGAATCGCTGTGCTGGCGAGGACCAACAGCAATTTAGCAGTCATTCGATAATATGTCTTCGATTATGGGTCGGAAAGCTGAGGTCTGAATCTGAGCTTATGTTCTTGAGCTGCGTTGCTAGACGCCACTGCTATTCTTGCACTAGTAATTCGTCGAGTGCGTAGTGTAGTGAGAGCGTTATAATCATTTGTAGTTACGAGTTACAAGAGTAAATCCAATTATCTGTCCAAACCCCGTGTATTATCCCTAAAAGGACAATATTAACATGTAACTTGAAGGATAATATAATAATATATATGGATGGGAACGGTATATATTTGGGGGTCGGTGACAGGTTTTTATGAATACGGTAGTGAAACTTCGGGTTCTGTGAAACGCCGAAAATTTGTCCAGATGAGCTACTGTTAGCATATCAGGAAGGACTCTGCTGCATGGAATTCTTATATGAAGTGATGTCGACACGGAGAACAAAGCTCCTGTATTTCGCCAGAAAGTTGAACTGGTATGTACTGACTGGGCAGACAGATTCATAAATGAAGGAGAATTGTGGGCCTACACAATTAAAATGAAACGACTTTCACAATGCAAACAATTTATTATAATGCAAGTTTGTATGTTTGTTGTAAAATGCATACATGAAATATAACATTGATCTTTTAAAATACTGGATTAATACTGTGTTAACAATAAACTTTTGTTGAACAACAGGTCTAAGAAACACACCATTTCTTACGGGATGGTATTCTGGTAAGTATTAACAGTCGCTAACAGTTATTGTTAACGATTTCTGAAGATATTCTGAGATCTTAACCATAAATCGATATCCTGTTTTTGAAGTCAATGACTATTTCATTAGTTATTAAAGGTGAAAGTATTATATAGATGTGTCTTCAGAGTTACAGGTTTGATGAAAGCTTCATTAACTCCAAGTAGAACTGCATAAGTTGTATAATTGAAACCAGTCACAGACTAGCGAAGTCCACTCACTTCTGTCGCTTTTCCTCTTTCTTGACATCGGGATTCGGGGTAGGCTGAGAACCTTCTGCCTTCTTCTGTGTCTCTCCTACACCAGCGAGATCTCTCTGTGGTCGTTTGATTTCCGGCTTGCTTTGTGTTGGAGCAGGCTTCTTTAAGTCGTCCTTCTTTTGACCGGTTTCACGTCTGGCATAAAATGATAACCAGATGTCAACACGTTATTTATATCTACAGCTTGGCGTCCCTTATTTAACTTTAAGCTTGATTGAAGCTGTGATGGAATGTTAGAATTATTATGAGTGTGAATCTCAGAGGATTTTGGAGGGGTCTTATCTGCCTTAAAGTACTACCGATTAATTTATCCCGACTAACTAAAAGATTCGGAAGCGTATTTAAAATGGCTGGACCCGGGTTTCAATACGGGATCTACTCACTGCTCAGGTATTCAATATATATCCTACTCTATGATTCTGCCATAATATATTAGCTTGGGCTAATTTATATTCTTCCATGAATTATGTTAACTTTATAAAGTTGATAATTATGGCTTAGCTATAGCAGTTAGAAGGTAGGAAGTTGGAACTCCCACAAGGGACAGTCCAACTGCAGGGAGTGGCGACCCTGCCTTATCCGAGCTCCAGAACCCGCTGGTCTAATTGGTAGTGCCTGGTAAGGGATTCTTCCCAGCGTTACGTGGTGGGTGTCTAAGGGAAGGAAACCATGGTTAAAAACCCTGGTCCTCCAAGACAAGGGGTTTTGCAGCAGGTTGGTGCTTCATGTTTATGAACGGAACGGGCTCAGCCCTTGCAGATGATGATGATGATATAACAATTAGGACTGGTCTTGCTGAACCGTAGTAGGTTTAGTGTTGTACTAACAAAACGTCAGTGAGAATGAAGTATACGTATTTGATGGCTTAAGTATTATTAAATGAACGTCTGTATATATGGTTACAGAATCTTCGGTATCAGTAAATACATGTTAACGCATAATTCAAGTAACTTCGAGATTTACCACCAAGTCGTCCTCCATGTCCGCGCCTGCGTAATTGATCTGTAATTTGCCCCCAGCATGTCCACGCCTGTCAGTCTGGCATAAGAATTAGTTAATTCCTTTAGAAATGAAGATTTTATTGGATGTGCTAAGAACTGAAGCGGAGGCGATCACCTGTCTTTAAAGATGTGAAATTCTGTCAAGCGAACGCAATGTGAAAATAAGCATTCCGTTAACCCTTTCGACGAACATTTGGAGACGATCAAACAATAGGGCATATTGACCGCAAGGAATTGAAATGTAATTTTCTTTGTTTTCATTTTCAGCCATGAACAGACCCCTGTACAGACGTCACAGATTTGTGTATGAAGTCCTTCTGTCACCTGTTAATAAGGAAGTACGGAATTTTCAAATATCTAAGTTATCGTATACTTAGACTGAGAATAAATACCATGTGTCCACTATCTCAGTGTTCGAGCGGTCAGAGATGTTATGCACCTCAGACTACACCTTCCTTGTGATCGTCGCAGTGTTTAATTAGATAATAGAAAATACTTATCAACGTATTTAACTTCAAGATGGCTCTATGGCTCAGTTCTTGTAATAGAAAATGAAGAATTATGTTTACGTAAATATTTATTTCATTTCATTTTAAATTAAATTATAAAACAATAAAATTATACTCCTTTCGTTAGGTGGAACATGTATTAAGTAATCTCTGTTTAGGCCCTACGTACCTTTGGAAGGCGGTAATATTTTCGAACACTGATTTATATTTTTATACGTTGACGTCGAATGAACCAAATTTATAGATGCAAAAGATTCTGTACTCACTTCTGTGGGTTTTTGATTTCATCTTCCTTCGAATGAGAATTTTCTTCTGAGGATTTGTCTGTTTCAGATTGTGGCTTCTGTTCGTCCGCAGCTCGAGATAGTCTGTCGTTAGCTTTTGGTGGTGCCGTGTATGAAGATTCTGTAGGTTTCTTCCAATCTTCTACTGGTGTTTCTGGTTTCTGTGCCTCTTGCTTATCAGTCTCACGTCTGTAAAAAATCAGCACTTATTACGAGGATTTCTTAACGTATTCCTCTCTTTATTTAAATTTACATCATTCAACGTTCACACACATACATTGAGTCCTCAATGCAACTATTTTCACTTTTATTTCTCCTCCTTAGGACATGTTTCGGTCTCAAATGGCCATCATCAGGTGCTCTCCACAGCAAAACTGTCGTATTGTGCGAATATATATAAGGACTACGCGTCTGGGCCTCGTATCGTAAGCACGCATCGAGAACCGGCTCTACGAGTGAACTACCCAGTAAACGCAAAGAAAAAAA